TCTGCTGCTTCTTCTGCCTTTTGCAAACTTCTATATGCAATTCTTTTTTCTAAACAAGAGCGAGGATGGACTTTATAAACATAATCCAGTCTACCAGGTAATGTCTTTGGTACATGTCACTCAAAGAAGGAGCTCATCGGTAGTTACATTTAATATTGCAAGTTACTGCAAACCCCTTCCCTCTCCCAGATTAATCCCATTTTCTGGGGTCTGCTCAGTAACCAGCAAACGTAGAAAACAAGATCAGTAAGTACCAGCCTATTTCAGCTAAGTAAAACGGCTGGAAATCTGTTAACCTTGCCGAAATAGAATGAAGTAATGAAGTACAGGCTGGAAAATTACTTACACACCATATCTTTCTCCCTCAATTAGAAACCCATTAGTTGAAATACCTCATTGTGATAGGTTACTACTCCTTTTTATCTTTAGCAGGTTATAAACTGCAAACAAAATAAAACAATTTCCTAAACATATGGATAAGCTTTTGGTTCCCTTATCAGCCTAACCCTAGCCTCATAGTCACCAGATGTCTTCCTGTAAGCAAGAATTGTTTATATTTGTTTTCAGTACCTTAAAGTGCTCTCATCTCCTTAGAAATAAGTGCAGCAGAAAAACAAATAGTGTCCAGGATGGAAAGATACAGAGACCATCAAGTTCCGGCATTGGGCATGCAGAATACTCATGCAGCATTGCCTTGAGCAACACAATCTCTTTCAAGGACAGGTCTGAATTAAGTCTACCTCTATTTCCAAATAGGTTAATCTGGCTAACATGTTTGTCTCATAATGTAAACATAAAATAAAAAAAAAAAAGTCCTAGAAACAGTTATAATAACCTCTTACTGCTGCAATAAATTCCTGCTTAGTATGTGACCCTGATTCCTTTAGCTGCTTCTGATACCCTATTAAAGCTGTAGAATTGTGTAGAATTTGTTTTCTATTCCTGCATCATGCAGTACATTAACACTATCAGTCTAACACCTTGCTTTTTGCTCTTTGTTACTAATAGCTTGGGGTTTTGGTTATTTCATCAGATTTTCTTAGTACTGAGCCACTCAAATCCATTCTCAGTTGCATCACTGTTGCTTTCTAACATTTCCAGTTAGTATACTTTAAACAATGTCAGAACAGCTGAGTCCTCCCCAAATTTGTTTAATTGTCTAGATCTGCCCAAAGTTCGTTATCTGTGCTAGTCTGAACAGGCTGCAATGGAGCCAACAAGACAACACCTTAGCACCCAAACTACATCCTAGTTTAAACACACTGCGCTGCCTTTCTACTTGTTACCATATGACAAAATCTGTGCTGTTGCATTGTTTCCCTTATAGCTAGAAATAGAATATCTCAGCCATCACCTCCCCCACTCTTGTTGTAGGTGCATACCCCCCTAAGTGGCCAAGTGTCAGTATAAGGACAGTTACTTGCTCTTGATTTACAAGTTTTGCAATACCTTCTCTTCAATGCTCCATTTGCAGGCAAGACTGCAGTGATAGATGATGACAAAGCATCACGTTCTGTCATTTTTGAGATACTTCAGAATGTTGTTACGGGACAAACTCTGCTGAGCCAACAGGGAAGAGATCAGATAACACTTCAGTGTACTGCGGCAAAACCAAAGTATTTATGGCTAATTCTGTGGTAAGCATGTTATTTCTTGGCTAACAGTTCTGCAGAACTCAGACCTAGTGCTGCAAGCGTCCTCTCAGTTTCAGTTATGGCTTTCCCTGGCTTCAGCTGACACACTTGGCTACTCTTACGGGTCTAAGCAAATTATTTTTGACAAAAGCAGAGAAGCACTTCTGGAAAGCTTGCACACTAAAGGGTATAGCCATAAAAGAACCCCCATTCAGTTTTAAGCCAGCTGCTACTGTGACTTTGGTAGCTTCTGCTTTTTCCCCTCACAATACTGTTTTCCCCCCTCAGATACTTACACTTTTAATTTATATATCTAAAAAGCATTAATGACACGCTGTCACTTCAAAAATGTAAGCAGTCTTGGGACACTGAAATGTGTGTGTAGGTTTCCAGCGAATAACAAATGACTGTAGAAGGGTTAAGAACATCTGTCCCTGACTATTAACTGCAGGCTTGTATCCCCATTGCAGCTAGAGCAACTTGAAGCTAAACGAGCAGAGGTGTTAAACAGAAAGCATTTTGTATTCAGTGTTGCTGGAGAAGATTTAAACAGAAGAAACTTGAGAAGGAGAGAAGGTCTGCAACCCTCATCCAAGCAGGTAATTTGATGAGGGTGTGGCTGGGCATAATGCAGCAAGTAACATTTCAGCTACACTGGGTACTTGAAGAATGGATATGCTAAGTGAGCATGGAGAAAGCTTAAGTGACTTCTCTCTTACACTGTGTGCAACAGAAGCTGAGATTCTTTGTACTCACATTTCTTTTAATTAAATCTTCAGCTATTCGTTCCTGGTTAGCCAAGAATCGCTTCCAAAGGATGCGCAGGGCTGCTAATGTTATTAAGCATTGCTGGAGGAAATGGAGAGTAAGTACGTTGGTGCAGGAAAGCATTAAAATTGAGTGACTGAGCTTTGTACTGTTAGAGAAATAATCTGCCGCTGTCAAGTAACTGTACAAAACCAATACTGACGTTCTCAGAAACTCTTCTCAAGCTGAAGTGTAGATGATGAATGCTTGCAGGGTGGCAGCTAGAGACTGCAGAATAAACTCATTCCTAATTATCTTTATAAAATGGGAAAGCATCCCAAAAGGTGTCCTATCCTTTATGATGGCCTATTTTTTAGGCTCTTAGCTTTGCAGTTTTAAATTTTGTTCAAGATGCTGGAGAATCGTGTTAGCAATACTGTTCTGTGTCTCTTTCAGGCAGAAATGGCTGCTTTGGCAGCAGCAGAACTGGATGAGGGTGAAGAAAAAACTGTTCTCAGTTCCTGGCACTACAACGTCAGCCAAATCACCTTGCTCTTTGGAAACAACCTGGCCTACGTGCAGTAATTCAGTTCTGGCCTCTTGGCCTCGTCCTGGCTGCTGCGCCTGTTACCATAGCGGGACTCCGGAGAGACCTGTCCCTGCTGGCGTGCTTGAAAGTACTTCAGGAGAGCGACTGCTACAAGACAGAAAGCAGCTTCCTTGGCTGTGGCATTACTTCCATTAGAGCTCTTCCACAGGTAATGTACCTCACACCCTCAAGTCAGCAGCACACCTAAGCTCTCATGAGTTCAGGATCCTGTAACAGTATGGGCATGAAGTCTGCTGTCAGGCTCTGGTCTTCCTTTGTCCACTGGGTTAGATATGCAAGCACGATGTGACATCAACAGGTCAAGCTAGACACACGACCAAAAAGAGACCTAAGCATGAAAGTGCTTGTTAATCTGTCAGAGGAATAAACAGAACAAAGCTCTGCTTCAGAAACAGACAGGAAAGGATTCAAATGCGGGCTCTGCTGTTATGTTCTATGTATTTTTTTCTGCTTAGGGAGACTAAATTGGTACAAGAAAACACAGCAAGAAAATGTGCCCATATGGAAAAAGGCGCTGCCTATCCCAGTAATTCTACATTAACATCACCATGCAGATGACTGCACGCAGACTAATTAGGATGGAGGGTTTTTGGGGCAGAAGGCAGGGAACAACCCTCCAGTACTTCACCTCCTACTCACGTGCAGACAGAATCAAAAACATTTACTAGAAGCAAGCTACAGCCCACACCAGCTTCTCTGTGACGTTGCACTCCATTTAGAGATCAACTTGTCCCCATTTGTTAAAATTTTGAGCTTGCCTAAAATCATGCTTGCAAGAATATAACTTGTGCGTGGTCACAATTACTCTAAGTAGGAAGACGTAGTACCAACTAAATACTCAGATCTTGAGAGTTTAAGCTACCTTCAGTGCGAGTTGTGTATTGATACTCTTCACAGTAATCACTGATCTTAAATCAGTTTGTAGGATACCCCTGCAGGTCTTCCTCTACCCTTAGTCATATTTAACAGTTGCTCGTGTACTTTGTGTACTAGGGCAGTAATCAGTCTGAATAACCAAACTAGCTCATAACCCTGCAAAACATCAACTGACCTCTCCGCCTCTTTCCTTCTAGGGCTCTGTCAAATTTCACTGTAAGAAGTCTCCCCTGCACTACGCAAATGTCAGTCCCCATACAGCTGCCTATTCTATCACTGGATTTAACCAGATTTTATTGGACAGAAAGGACTCCTTCCAACCTAAGTTTTGGCCATCTGCACATACTGAACCTTTTCGTTCAGGGAAGGACTGCTGCAGGCTGCTGCTTTCAATTACTCAACGTCCGTATCTGCTGCTACCTCAGAGCTTTCTATAGTGATGCATTGTATATATAATATACTACAAATTCAGAACGCATGGGGGATATTCCTCCTCCCACACACGCACATATTAGAGGAAATAGCACTATGAGAACACTCAACATAATTAAACTAGATCAAGTGCTTTAAACAGTATATACTTGAACAGAACTCTTCTGGCACTACAGGGGCAGAGCAAGAGGCTGGTAATGAGATAGCAAAAAAAGGCAAACCTTTCTGATGTGTGCTGCTTCTCGTTGGGAGGCACAGCTAGTCAGACTGATTGCAAACATTCAGAAACCTGTGACTGAGGAAGTAGCAGTCAGATGTAACACTAGAGGCAGACATCTCAGGGAAAAGCAACACTGGACTGTTTGCTTTTATCTGTAGGACCAAAATATGCATAATCTCACAAGTTGCCATGTGTTTCTAGCACTACTTAGGCATAGCTGAGGGGCCAAAGTTCTCCTTAGGGGGGCCAATACCATCCTTTTGTTTGTGTACATGGGTCTTAAAAACATTCAGCTCTTCTGTGTAGGCCACTTTTAAATAAAACTGTTAACTATCTTGTGAAGGTGCCTGACTATCCATAACAAAGGTAACAAAAACATTTCACAACATTTTGTCGACATTTATCTTAATCCACATATTTAATATAATCGTTATTGGGAAGCAGCATTTCCCATGGTTGACAGGATTTCTCTATCAAAGATCGCACGTCCATGTAGTATCAATTTACTTGCTAGTATCTAAACATCTGTCCAATACTGTATCACTGTTTATCAACTCTAAATTAAAAATTTGAGTCCTGACGTCCATGAGGGAAGCGTGACCAAACCCAGAGGAAATACCCGGCATGGTGCACCAGAGTTGCAGAGGGGTGCTGCAAGATCCCTCCTGTCGGAGGAAAACTCAAGGAAAGCAAAACGTTCCCAAGGTAGCTCACTCAGGAAGAATATTCTCCTTCTCTGGGGGTTCAACAATTCTCAGGCAGCAGTCTGCAAACTCAACGAATAACGGCTCCTGCATGTACTTTTTCATGAGGGAGCTCTTCTCTTCTGCTTCATCAATCGTCAGCAGCAGCTGCCGGAGGTGGGGGTTCAGGAGCAAGCCTTTCAGTTCTTCTGATTCTCCTTCAGGGAAAAACAGGTGAACAACACTAATTGTGAGCAGCTACAAATGTTGCTTAGAACACTGTTAGTTTGAGGGTAAATTCTCAAGGCACAAGGCCAGGTATGCGACACGGGAAGCTTTAAGGCGAGCTGCACAACCAGGACGAAGCACAGTGCCTCAGTAACACACCCCAGCCGGCCTTACAGCCCCCCCAAACCCCCTCCAACCCCTCAGGCTCACCCAGCAGCTTGAGCTTCTGCAGCGGGACGCGGTCCTGCTCGTCGTCCTCCGCCAGGATGTCCGCCACCGACCAGGGGCTGCCTAGGGACGGCAAAGAGAACCGGGCCGGGGGTACCCAGTCCCCCCGAACCCCCTCACCCACCCCCATACATCCCCCCAGCCCCTTACCTGCCCGCTGCCGGCCCGGCCGGCCCCTCGGGGCTCTGCCAGCCCCTCCGCCGCCCTGCCCGGCTCCGAGATCTTCGCGGCCCCGCTCCCATCCCCGTCACGGCGGCACCGGGCTCGGTGCTCCCTGCAGCACGGCACGGAGCAGCTGCGGGCACACGGCTCCCGTCAGGGCCCGGCGGCGCCCCTCACGCAATGGGGGCGGCCGCCGCGGGCCCCCTCGCCCCAAACCCGCTCCCCCCAACCCGTTTCTCCTCTCACTAAGCCTCGGCGCAGCGCGGACACCGGTACGGGGCCGTCCCCGCCGCCCCGCACACCCCCACAGCTCCGAGCCGCCCTCATGGCGTCCCCGGCCCGCTCCAGGCCCGGCCCGCCCAGCGCCGCCCCGCCCCGCCTCAGGCGCGGCCAGCACAGCGCCGAGCGCCGGGGCGTGTTTTTTTTTATTTATTTATTTTTACATAAAACGGAGTTTTTTTTGCTCGCAGCCGCTAGGGAGAGGAGTGTTGGGGTTGCTTCGTCTGGGCTCGAGGAGACTGGGATGCTGGAGTAAGGACAAAGGAAGAAATAAACGGGAAATAAACGCCTACAAAGCGGGACTGAGGGGGGTGGATGGTGCCTGGGTGAGCTCCGCCATCATCGCGGCCCTGTGGCAGCAATGAGTAACACCTGAGCATAAATTAAACATAGAGTAATGTCACCTGGATCTTCTAAGCCAGGACTTCCCCATCTGTGAGTGCAGGGGCAGAGAGAAGACGACAAAGCGCTGAGACCCCTGTGGGCAACGTCCCCGTCACCAACCACAAGCGTTCATCTCCACTGGGGTCTGACACGTTAATTACCAAAATCTAATTTCCTTTCTGGAGAAGGAGAGAGGGTAAGACGTCTGCCTTTCACATAATGCCCAGCCTTGACATTTTTATTTTGCTTTGCTGTGTACAAGGGACTTCGCTACAATTCTGGGACTGAAAATCTCCAGGGAGGTTTCCTGCTGGAGCAGCTCACGTTTCAACACCACGGATTCATGGCTAGTTATAAGCAGAAATATGAAAAGCGTAGGCACAAACGTCTCACAGAATCACGTAACGCAGCTACAAATAGAGATAGAATAAAATTCTACCAGATAAATTCCGCAGCTAAAATTACAGCAGCAAAACAGTGCAGAATGCCCCCAACCACAGATCCAGCAGTCGAAGCTACAGCCCTGACTGTAAACGAGAAGGAAAATCACACATCCCCCGGCAGTCCTGGAGCCTTTCCAGCCATTGAATTCCCCCGAACCCACAAAAAACACCACAAAAGGGCCGCTCCCAAGGGCGGCTGGCGGACTCTGCTCCCCCTTTGGTCCCCCCTGGTCCTTCCCAGAGCCTCCCGGGCCGCCGGCGCTGTCCCCCGGGCGGTGCTGAAGGCTGCTCCCGGTCCCCGTCAGATGTTGGCCACGGCACAGGCTTGTACACGGTTGGCAGAAAGGCACCTCAGAGACTTGAGCTTAGCCCCCAGCTCTTTGGCTTTCAGGGTGTATATCAGCGGGTTCCCCAAACAGTTCATGGTGATCATCATGGCCGTGCAGTTTCGGAAGATGTAGACGCTGGGGTAGAGATCGAGGGGGCACTGGTGGTTTGTCGCATCGAATATGACTCCCGCAAAGAAAGGAGCATAGGAGACCAACGCTAGGACCCATATAAAAATGCTAGTTCTGGCCACCTGGATTTCGGCGGATTTGTAGGTGCCGGTAGCTTGCCCACATGCTTTCATTCTGAGCTTTCTTTTCCTCAGGATGATAATGATTCTGAGGTAAGTGAACAGAGGAACAATAAAAGCCGCCACAACGTTGGGAATGGTGATGAAGATGAGGTAGTCAACGCAAAACGGGCTGTAGAGGACTGAGAGATTTCTTCCCATATGCAAGCAGTTCCACCCCATCAAGGGCAAGCAGCCCAAAGAGAAAGCAAGGATCCAGCTAATTAAAACTACAGCTATGGAATGTTTCTAGTAACCCTAAACCTTGTCCTAATACTTTCAGACACAGCCAGATAGCGTTCGATTCCAATGCTTACCAAGTTATAGATGGTGGATAAAATCGACGTAGTATATAAGGAATAAGGTGCAAGTATACCCTTGGATCCAAAGATTGTAATGTCAGGGTTGGTGATGAACAGCACTGAAATCCAAAAGCCAGAAAAACTTGTGAAGAGATCAGAAAAAGCCAAATTGCAGAAGAGGATAGAGATAGGCTTGTGCAGATCCTTTGTCGCCATTCTGGTGATGATGACTATGCAGTTGAAGATCACAGAAGCTATGTTAATGGTCAGCTGGGGGATGCCCAGGGCAAGTACTAAATAATGACTCCAAATTTTGGTATGGTTAGCAGAACAGTTTGAGTATCCAGTCATGGTGGGAAATCCCGCTTTCAAGCAATAACAAAGTCTGCTGTACACATCCCGTATGTGGCAAGAGACCGTACAACTACATGAGTGTTACTGCCACCTTGTCCTCCAGTCGAAAAATGAATATTGAAGCACAGCCTCTGTTGCCACATCATTGTCATGACAGTGGATTAATCTTTAACCACTTGTGTTTTTAAATATTTGGGTTACCAACTCAGAACAGAGCTAACGACCCTTAAGTTGCTAGGATAGGCAGAAGTGTAAAGCATATTTACTATTATAAAGTTGATCTGCTTAAAGCAACCTTATCAAGAGCAAAATTTGGCCAGTTCATGTGAAGACAAATGATCACACGAGTGGTTTAGAAGTCTGAAGATATTCTAAAATTGAGTGAATGTGGATTCATCTCTAATTCACTAATAGATTAGATAGAAAGAGATAAAGATTAGAGTCAGAAAATAGACGTATTTTTCTTTTAGGCAAGAGGGTATGTGATTGATGGCACACAAAAAAGAGTATCACCTTTTTGTCACTAACTTGGACCCCTGTGAGGGATTTAAGCAGCTGCCTAAATTGAGATCAGCTCTAGTGACTTCACACAACTCATAAAGTGCTCAAGGTCAAGAATCTGTTTGAGGTTTTCTGGGTAAGAAATGTAATGTTTTTCAGTTCTTTTCATTCAATATCTATATAAGAAGAAAAGATGTCTCCTTATCACCTAAGCTTTATTTGCACTAAAATAGATGGTGTCTCTGGTTCTGAAGTTTATAGATTTCCAGTTTTAATCCCTCTAATTGCCCTTGCCCAAACTGGACACGAGCAACGGACAAAAATGTTGACATTAAGCTAGAGGTTTCTTATTTCAGTCACTACCCTAGTCACAAAACCTGCAATTTTATTCTTAGAAACGTTGCTTTGCAAAACAATGAAAGATCCGTCTTAATACAGACAGCACACTTTTATGTGCTTAATAATCACATGAAGTATGGTTGGTTTTAAATCTTAACTGAAAGATAACAGAACCTATATGTTTGCTGTCTCTTGTTTACAATTACTAATTGATGCGACCGGCAGTGACTGATTTTCTAAGGATGGTTAGATCATATCTACAAATAAACCCCAAGCTGGTAAGCAAAACGACACGATGAACTGCAATGCTACAAAGGGGCTCTGAAAAGGTAAGAAGCTCCTTTGCCACTGGTGTTCCTGTGCTTTGGCCTACAGAAATATCTCAGTACTGAGTACTGGAGTACTCAGAAGTTGACAGTCTGTACCTAAAATTGTATGTATTTTCCTTTTCTTGTGTAAATCAGAGGTACTGATGGTCTATGAGAAAAACAAACAAAGAAAAACCTACGAGACATTGAATTAACTTAATTTTCAAACAAGCAAGTGCAGGAGGAGGGCTTAACTCTTTGTTAGAGTAATTGGAGTGGGGACTTAAGATGCTTAAGCTGTTCTGAAAATGTCATTTTTCCCCCTTAATTCTTGGGTGGGAACATAGCATGACAATGACAAACATCTATACTCATGCCTTTGTTATAAGACATTTTCCGTTTGCTTTTTTTAAAGTTAATCTATATTGTACATTAACAAAACAACATAATATTATTGTATCATTTACTTCTTTGTCTTTTTAAATATAAATGATTTTTGAAAACGAAGTTTAAAATAAATGCAAATAGAAAAAATATTCTTTGGACATACATTTAATGCTGCCAGTCAGCAGAGGGCACTACTGTACCAAACAATTATCTGCAGTATACAGTGGGGAATATGGCAGTCTTAAATACTGGAGCAGTTTGGGTGAGCAGTAAGTACACCAGTGTATCAATATGAACAGCACGGATATTTTTTCTGCTCAGAAGCTGCTGCCTTTTTTTTTTTTTTTTTTTTTTTCCCCCTAATGTTCTACGCCACTCCATGCGTGATTTGAAACTCCCACACTCCCACACACAGAGACCTCTCCAACATGCTCTAGCAGCTACCTGGCATCCAACTGCAACTGAGCAGCGAGTTTTTGCAAGTTTTCCTTAGTAAAATATCTGTATGAAGTCATGTCACCTACAAAGTTGGTCAATTAATGCATATGGCTCCATTTAAATGTTGTTTTTTTTTTGTTGGTAATAATTTTATACAGTGATACTAAAACAGGAGCTCAGCTATGCTGATGGGATTTTCACTTTGAGTGGTAACATCTGAGCAGTACAGCAGCAATTTGAGCTCTCAGACTAAATCTGTGACCAATACAATAGCTCTGTCAGAATTTACAACATAAGAAATTTGTGCAGAAATGTTGGGTTTAAATGGATTTATTTATTTTTTTATTAAAATTGAAGTTTATGAGCATATATCATGGTTGGTGTGCAATTAGTATGCAATTACTATATATTAGAAATGCTTTACACAGGTAAATAATCAGTATTTCAGATGGTCACAAGGAAGTCCAAAGAATGATTATATAGAAATAAGGGCTGGGAACTGATTAAACAAGTCTGCTGATTTATTAATATCCTATAAACTATTCTTCTCAAGTGTCACAGAAAAAGCATGCTGTGTAATTCACCTCATACAAATTTGTCAGCCACACCTTTGGTGTGAGATTGCTGCTGAGCAAGGACTTTACTATTTCTGTCACCTTCTCAGTGCCAGCACCGCAAGTCAGCAACTCCTTTTAATCACAGCAAGTGAGGCAGCAAGGAACGTACAGCACAGATGAACATCTGTCAGGAATAGCAGAGGGCACCAGACCAAGCCACACGCAGTCCTGATCTCTTTCAATTACATATTCAATGGCTCTGTGAACTGATAGGGGGTCCAAGGGTTGTGATGAAATGCAGGCTACGCGAAAGTGTGACATCTTCAAAAATATCCTAGTAATTTTGAAAAGTATATCCATGAACTGGAGCTCCAAGGTGCCCTAGATATTCCTGAAAATGCTACTTGACATTTCTCTAATTTGAAAAGCTGGTGTTCAAGCATGAAAGATCGTATGAAGTCAGAATGCAATTAAAAATAATATTGAATAATATAGATAGCTCTTAACAAAAAGCTTTGTAATCTTAATTCTCAAATTTAATTGCATAAAAATAGTGTAATGTTACTAGGTTAATGGAGAAAATATTATTATGGAAATAACTTTTTTAGTATGCTTCATTACAAAAACAAAAAAACAACACAGATTTGTAATCTCAGCCCTCTGTAAGAAAGTCTGAGCTCTCAAAAACAGATGAAAAGTAATTTCAACTCCAAGCAAACACTGTGTGAGGTAGGGAGTCACTGTGCCACCAAATCTGCACGTATAACAATGTCTGTGCAAGGTGATTCTTATCATCACATGTTCTGGGAACTTGATAATCTTTTTGTACTTACACTTATGACACATCTGTGAGGAAAGAGTGTTATCTACATTTTACAGATGGGAAAAGAGCAATCAAATTATTTGCTTAAGATCAAACAGAAGTCCAGTATGGAGGGAGCTAAATCTCAGGCTAACATTTTAAACACTGGCTGTACCTTTTTGTTGGCAAGTCTTTGATTAATATTTACCTAGTTTTCACCCTCTGCAACACTCTAATACTATAATTGTTTGCATGTTTCTTTATCTAAATGTCCAAATTACTATTGCTTTGATATTTGTCCTGACTGAGACATGGCATTGTTTTATTCTGCTAACAAAAAAAAAAAAAAAAAAAAAAAAGAAAACCAGCAATAATATACTTCTCTCACTGACACCTCCTTTTGCCATAGAATCTATAACTTCAATAATAATTATCCTAAGATTATGCCTGTGGAGAACACCATAATCACTGAACATGCTGAATAGATCGAGAAAGAGAGGTGATAAGCCTTGGCACTGAATTTGCAATGAACATTCATTTCACGTTGCCATTCTGGAAAATCTACCTTCACACAACACATCTTGCAGCTTCAGAAACACCCGGAACCTGCAGCGTGTGCCTCAACAGGAATCACAAGTGTCCAGCAGCTCTCAGAATAACAGGCCCCAGCTGCGACATGCCAAAGTTGATTTCAAAACAGGATATGAAGGAAAAGGGCCTCGTAGCTCAGTGCAGTAACCCTTGGACAACATACACTTTTACCTTAACACCATGCAACAGCAATGCTCTTTATGCTGATAATACCCTGAGAAACCTGAGTTGTGTGTGACACTGCAGGAGAAGCTGCGTCCATGTAATGAAAATGAGAGCTCCACAGCACAATCACACTACAGCTGATGTGGTGCTACCTTCAGAGCAGCATACGCACCGTGTAAATACAAGAAAAACAAGGCACTGAAAGGATATTTTCCAGTTGCTTTCCTGCCACACATCCAGTTCCTACTTCCATGCCTGACACACCAGACCTTGCTTGTTGTGAAGGGCAACAGTTTGACTTTCTCCTCACCTACTCCAGCTACACCACTCACCAAGCTGCAGGCAGCACATAACCTGACCCAAAACTGGCAAGTGAAATGCAGACTGCCCAAGCATTGAGAAAAATTAATTCTTGTTTGCCATGACCTTTGGCAAAGCCTTAAGATGAGAATATCCATCTACATAATTTGTCAGTGGTCATCATGAGGCCTGCAAGTAAAGAACCTTCAGGAAAGGGAGTAATACAAATAAAGAGCCTATTTATCCAATTTATGTTTTAATTTATGTGGATTAAAGTCTTCCTCTTTGGAGAGGAAGACACAAATGGTATGTATGATCTTCCAAGATTTTTCTGAGATGTTTTCAAAAGAGAAAGCTCTCAGCTCTTCCTTCACCCACTCTCTTTGAAGAATTTTCGCATCACAGGTTTTGAGTTATCTGATGTTCCAGCTATGCTTTCATGGCCCTCACCAGGAGCATAAAGTGAAGACAATCATCAGACTTCTATGCAACAATATGTTAACTACAAGCCACAAAATAGTGGCAAGGACACCCCTGCAACTGCATCTCTCCCTCACGCCCCATGAATGCACAGCCTGAATCTCTCTCTGACACGGCAGAAGTGTTATTTTAAATTTTGAGGACCTTGTATTACACTGCCTAAAGGGAGGCAAACATTGATAAATATCTGAAACCAAAGTCATATGTTAAACAAAGACCTCTACCATTAATTTATATGTGAAGAAGTCAGAACGTATCTTATCCCTTTAGACATGAGGAAGTCCACATAAATGGCATCTTCCTGCTAAACTGAAAACCTATAGATGCACAATAATGAATCCTGTTACAAGAAAGCAAAGGTTAGAAATGCACATGCTTCAAAACCAGGCAAAATAACTAGGCAGGCTGTAACCTCAGAGCTAAATATTCAGCTCAGAGGCACACAGCCTTCAGAATACACCTTCATAATTCTAGTAAATGTTGCACTGCACACTGCTGGTGTTTTATCACTCACCGAATGAAAACCACTCATTCACATACAGAATAGTGCTCTACATCAGAAATACTGAGCAAAGGAGAGTTCAGTTTTACTAATGATGACCTCACATAATACAGGATCTAATCCTCGAGTACAGGCTGAAACTGATTGTACACAGCTAATGCACCAGAACTAAGCCAAAGACCAAATAAAGAGTCATTCCAAAATGCTTCTAAGTACTCCACTGGAAATGACCTCACATTAGAACAAGGTTTCCCAGTAGAACAGACTCATGGAGAAGCATAGACAGCCCCTGGTTTTCACATGAAAGATGAGACCTTAAGGTGTCAGGTTCACCAACAGTTACTGCTCACGAAATTCCAGATTTCCTGTTCAGTGGTCACGGAACTAACGAAGAAAATTACGACACATGATCCAATGTAGCGTACTTAGTGTGTTTTCTCACTTGGGTGGGTTTCCCAATCACCCAGACACTAATCATGAAATTCATCTGTGTTTTAAATCTCTTGGAAGTACTTCTGTCTCCCACTGCAAGGACAGTTCAGGTCAGCTCGTCTATGAACAGGATTTGGAGTCAAATCAGTCTCACCTTGGCAAGCCTGAGATCTTCCTTCTAGGAGCAATTGTTTCACACAGCTCCCCGGCACAAAGCTGTGCCACCACCTTGACTTTGGCTGGGACTCTAACGCATTTAGACCCTGGAGTCAGACCCAACCTGCTCTCATCCCCTCCTGTCTGCGCTGCAGGGGCATGGCGGGACTGCAGCCGCTCAGCTGGAAGGCTGTGTGCCGCGCTGGGCTTCCTCCCTTCGGCACATGGTAGGATCATTTGGCTCAGACACATGTGAGCCTCATTGATGTCACGTCAGTCCCTCTGAATGTCCTGTGAAACCCTTCTGGAGTAGCAGGCTATGGTCAGATCTCACGCGTTTCAGAAACCAGGCTGAGAACATCTCCAAAATCTTTGCTGCTGTGCTCCACAGCTAGGCTACAAAGTCAGTGCAGGTTGTACTGTTTCTGACAATCCCTCCTGCTCTTATCTATCCTGTAGCTACAGCACAACTGCAATCATCAAGTCCAAAAAATAAATAATAACCCTGGGTTTAATGATCTGTAATAGGCTTCCTTCAAAACTCTGTCTCAGCTTCTCTGATCCACATCCGCACATGTATTAAGGTCCAATGTCCAAAGGCCTTTGTGAAAACCCACCTACACTGCAACTCCTTGTCAAAATATTCATAGGTGCAAAGATGCCAGTGAGAATTGATAACCAGGCACTGGTCAGGTAGATTTTTTTAGATTAAAAATGGAGATCAAATTATGGCTGTCCTGCTTATTTAGATTATAAAATTTATAAGGAAAAGGAATATCTTTCACTGAGTCTAAATACACTTGCTAGCACAAATTAAACCTAAAGATTTAATTAAACATGACTGCAGTGCAAATTATTACCACTTTAATAATAACAGTCTGGAAGGTTTATAAAAGGGAAAAAAAGAATGAATCCTGAATTTCAAGATCAAAATGTTTAATCCTCAGATATTTCAGCCTTAAACAGAAGGGTTCTAGAAAGCTCTTAGCTTTCAGGCAGCTCAACACGGGTAGGGTGAAAACAATTCATGCAAGAGCTTTGGTTAAACTCCCTCACTGAAGACCACCCCTGGAAAAAAAAATAAATAGAAAAGCCCAAGAATAAAACGCCTTGTACATGCCCTTGAAGGCTGGCACCTGACACTGCTGTGTTCACGCCCCCCTGTCTCTCTACGTGCTCAGCATGCACCTTGCTTAGATAGCTCCACAGAGATTGCTGAACTAGGAAGTCCAAAAATGCAACAAATTCCCTTATTGTTCTCATCAATGCAGTAACTATTTTTCTTAGCACCATGTGCTAGGCAAATCATTGCGTGTTCACGTTTTAATCTATCTCATCCAGCATGGAAAAATACTACCCAGCATATCTTCATTGTTGGAATGTTATTTATAGCCATCCTTTTTATGAATAAAGACCTGCTCCTAAGTCAGCTGTCAGATTTCCCATTGTTATTACAGTTGTGATCCTCTGCGACCCCACTACTGACGGTGTAGTAGCCATACCCTTCACCTGGGAGCCTGCAACTGTTGGTAAAGGCACGAGCATTTATTAGGCTCCTTTTTAACTTCATCCCTCTGCAGAGACCAGGCTTTGCTGGAGGATCAGGCTTGCTCAGGGCAGCCAACATAATGCCACTCCGCAACATTTATACCCCTTCATGGAGGGGCACTGGGTCAAGCAGCCTGCTCCTCTTGCACCCAGTGCAGGATTGGATTGAGTCGTATGCCCACGGACAGAGAAGTATCTGAGGGAAGGGGAGAAGTTGTACTTCCTCCTCAGCTGTATCGAAATCCAGCCCTGAATGAAAAATAGAAATTGTGTGTATAACAGAAACTGTAGAACAAAAAGCAGCCACAGCACTTTTCTGTGCACACCTTTGTTTGTTGAACATAAAGCCTGAATTGCAGTGAATCAGGCATGTGAAATTGAAGTGTTCAGATAGGAAGAGGAGACAGAAAAAAAAAAAGTATCTGTACCTTATACTGTAGTACCAGAATCAGGAAAGTCAGGAAAAAGTGCTTAAAGTGGAAAAAGAAAAAGAAAAAGAAAAAGAAAAAGAAAAAGAAAAAGAAAAAGAAAAAGAAAAAGAAAAAGAAAAAGAAAAAGAAAAAGAAAAAGAAAAAGAAAAAGAAAAAGAAAAAGAAAAAGAAAAAGAAAAGAAAAAGAAAAAAAAGAAAAAAAAAGAAAAAGAAAAAAAGAAAAAGGAAAAAAGAAAAAAAAATAAAAAGAAAAAGGAGAGGGAGAGAGAGAAAGTGCAATCTCAGTTAATTCACTAAGTGCAAAATCCTGTGTAAGTAAAGTGCTGGCATGCCACCTAATAAACCTTTCCTGTTACTGCACGCAGAAATCACATTTTTCAGTCTCACCAATCTGGGCTTGAGGGTTGCTGGCTAGGGTTTTGCAGGGGGAGGGAGGATTTTTTATTTGTTTGTTAGTTTCATAGGCTTTTTTTGAAACAAAATGCTAACCTGAATATACAAATTCACAAATAATCTGAAAGTCATGTGGACTGTCAGAGAAAAAGCTGCCAGTAAATAAAAATGTAACATTTTACTAAAAGGTTTCTAGATGTGCATAGGTTGCAAAGCATTATTTATTACAGGATAGTTGTTCAGAGCTAGAAAACCCTTTTCCTTTTGACATTCATTTTGGAGAAATGAATAAATTTAGGCAAATCAGGAGTAGGGTAAATCTGGAGAAATTACAAAGGGGAGGAGTTCACCTTCCTGGCTATGGCTTTCAGGTCTGTCCAGGACTACTTACTCCAGTATAAAACTGAGAGCAGAAATATGATCACATACTAAGGAGTCTAATCAATCCTGGTTTCAACACTGAGCCTATTTAAAATAGATAATGGAATTGCTGTTCCTTGTTCTATTCTCTGTGCACATTCTCAAGACAGAGGCAGTAGGTAAGTCCTTGCCTGTTCTTTCTAACCCCATATAACAAGGTTACTCTTATTTATGATTTATTTCTGAGTGTCAGTGCCTACAGGGCAAACTCTCTAGTCCTTCTATTTGAAAAATGAAGAATGTTTTATTTGTTTCTCTGCCTTTCTCATTTGTGGGAAAATATCAAATATAGATTTCTCTCATGAATGACTGTGGGTTTTTTTTCACCTTTAGAGATTCTAGTTGCCTTACTTGTCCAATAAAAATCAATGGGGTTTGACTTGATCTCTGTGGTTACTTATATATGTAAATTCAAAACATTAACAAGTAAAATATTTTTTTTTGTCCAAAAACTTCTTAATATTTCAAATAGCTTGTTTTAGATTTCTACTCATATTGCTTTGCCATTTGTAAGATTAAATTCTCATAGTTGCCTACTGAGGGAGAAAGAACAGTATGTCTTTTGCTGCATTAGCCCAGCAGATCCATCTATTTTTGCACTCTGTGCACTATGTACATAAGTGCAGTACGCACTTATGATGACTAGATTAAATCACAATCAATAATTAGTATTGAAAAACACAGCAGGTATTTTTATGCTTCTATTAGGTCAGCAATACTGTAACATTGAATAAATAGTCTTTCCTATGTGAATATTAGCACACAGTCTCAAAATTAAAAATAAACACTGCAGTCCTTAATGGTAACGAAGGGTCTATTGTTTGCACTAAAATAGACTAGACTGCATTAAGGAAAAAAAGAGATACAATATTATCAGAGGTATCAGAGGGAAGCACTGCACCAAGAGCCTGTTAAAGTGACATGGTTTTAAGGCAGCTCAAGATTCAGCTGCCAGACTTAAAGTAACAGAGGTTTGAGGTGCTCAGAAAGTGCCTTGAACATCACATAAGCACTGGAGTAAGAAAGGTGTTTCCCTCATTTTATTTCTCTGTTCTTAACTAATCCTCTATATCCATGACTCGGTAACTTGGCTTTTCCAGATTCATACCTTACAGTTAAATATCCCCCTCTTCTTTAGTCCGTATGTTTTAGCTGTTCTGTCTCTGGAGGCTTCCTACATGTGTTACAGGTACACACAGACACAAAGAACCTTTGCTCTTTCAAAGTCTACAACTATTGTTTGCTTGATAGAAAATGATTACTGATTAATTAATACTTAGCTAAATTTACTGCTCTGTTAAGGCATTTATTACAGGATCCTAAAAGGCTGCTTAGAAAACACATACAGGTTTTATTAAATCACTGTTAGTAATTAGAGTTTTAATGGAACTAGTAATACAGGGAATGCATGAATCAATTTACTGATTTTTTTTCTAACCACGATCACTTTCTTCCCTAAGTATAGAGGCAAATGGCACAGTCATTAATACTCCAGAAACTTGCTCTCCTCCCACCTTCCTTTTCAAACCTTTTCCCAATGTAGAAGCTTTACTGGGTACATTGTACTAAGTCAAAGGCTAGATATTTTAAGAAACCATGACTTTTGAGCATCAGCCCAAATTATTCTAAGTATCTGTTTTTCTATAAAAAGGAGAAATTTATTTCATTTCTATCTTTGAGTGATACCCACTTATCAGCTCATTTAACATATCTGCACCATGCCTGCTTTCTCTGCTCTGAGTAGCCTGCCAATTCACCACACTTAGATAGTCAATATAGATCCTTGCTAGTCTTTTAAGTTGCTTTCAGCCTTGACCTGTCTTAGTACCATAGCACCTATTTTTTTAAATTATTACTAGTAGTCCTTACAGGGTTTATAAAGAAGCAAGCCTCATTATCCCTAGGCTACCAAATGGAAACAAGTGCACTGGTGCAGCCACCTGCCCTTTCTGTCTTGAAACTCTGTTCAGCATCTCATCCGCTGATTTATATGCATCTCAGCATATTCCATTAACAGGGCATCAATACACCTCAGATGCCTGCTTGATTCCTTTGAGAGATCAATGACCCTCTGGAACTGCTATTAGACAGGCAGTAGTGAGGTGAAATGTCTGCAGTGTTCCAATAGGATCGTCCCAAACCTGAGAGAGAGGTTTTATTAATGGTAAATTCAGTCCAGTGCCATCCAGAGAAGAGCAATTGTAGAGGACAGTAATATACTTCCGTCTGGAAGTTTTTTAGTGGAGTTACAGCCAGCTCCATGCATTACTGAAAAATAATCTGCTTTAACAGGAATGGAGTGGCATATGGCATTATCTCAAATTAGTCACCTTTCTATCTTAGTACAGATCGACTTTTGATCTCAACTTATGACTGTTATGCAGGATATATTGCTTAGAGCTTCCTTCTTTTTCTTCCTTTGACTTATTCAAACTTCCAAAATAGATTTAAAGCCTTATCTGTGTCTGCTTGCTCTTGTCCATACATATCAGTGTATGCCATCATCATCGGATCCACTGTATGCAAGAAGAAACAAGAGGTCACATTTAGCAAGCTGCTGAGCGTGCACTGAGAGCAAAAGATGCTCACTAATGCTGCTGTCAGCTCTCCTCTCTCCACATAGCTACAAAAAACTGCACAGGCAGGCTTCAGATGGCAGAGAGTTCTCTAGCTCTATCATTTGTGCCGAACCAGTAACAGCACGTTGTGCTCACTATCTTCAAAACTGAAAAATATTTACTAACAAACTTTCCCATTAAACATGAAACCTGGAATTAAATTTTAGCAGATGAGCTCTCTAAGAGGGATTGTTATGGTCAACAGAGGTGTAGCTTTAGATAAGATCATCCGCTGCCATGCTCACTGCTATATGTGGCTTATAATTGGAAGGGTTTTATGGATGAGAGAAGAATGGACATGAACTGTGTGACCAGGATATCTAAGGATGCAAATCCGGTAATCCCCGAGTACACTTATTTCCTTCCATGGTTTATGATAAAGGCACAAAGGGGTATAGCACTGCAGCAATTTAATTCTTATTCTCTCTTTGACATTAAAATTCAGCAAAAGACAGAAAAGCATTTGTGGCAGAGCAGCATATGAGAAAGAAAACAGCTCTTACTTAGCTGTAACAGCCTGTTATGTTTTAGGGAGACAGGGAACTAAGCTCAGTGGGCAAAGAAGCAACACTGCATGTTACGGGAAGACTCCTGAAAGGCAGCTACAAGACAATGTTAAGGCCATATACGGGATAAACCTTGAAATATTTTTAACTTTTTACCTTTCTGTAGCCAGCCAGGTATGGCACCCAGATATATCTGCATTGCACAGATTTGTGTGCAGATTTGTGCACAGGAATGCTTTGATTCTCTTCACATTAGTCTATGTGTGAAGTTATTCAGGAGTGTGTACTATGCAGTCATACCTTGCTGTAATTTAAATCAATCTGCACATCCTGACTTCCTCGTAAAGAATTACACATGTAAGTAAGATCGCCTCTGCTGCCTCCACTGCATATGAAAACAAAAACTGACCCTCAGCCCCATGCAAGACTGCCTGAACTGCTGAGGAGTGATTGCATGTAGCAAGTAGCAATGAATGACTGATACCCCACATGACACAAATCCTGCTTTGTTATATTTTGTTGTGCTAAGTCAGTGGGAGCTGGAGTTCTCGAGCATCCAGCCTTTCTACTAGGTTGATGCTTCAAAGGGCATCACAGCTACAAGTCCAAATAACATTGGTCACTAGTTTGCAGCCTGGTTCTAGTGATATGCAACAAATGGGCAATTTTCTATATACAAAGTAACATACCCAGTCACATAATTAATGTTCAATTTAAGGATCAACCTGGCCAGAGTGAGTATGCCACATTGTCACTGTTTGTATTAACTCACTGTTTAGCTGATCCTCACGCAGAACTGCAATGTGCTGCATCACCTGGTCCTTCTCCAGCATTCAAGCCAGGGTGCCTTCCTGCTGCTCTTCACTTCAGTTCCACGGGAAGGAAAGGAACGTGGTAGAAGCCATTCATAGGAGCCATTCACAGGTGGCAAGTGACGTTACCTCAGCTTACAAATTATTCTTCTTTCTCCTACAGCAAAAGATATCAGGATAAGAATTGGAATATCCTTTATATGATGCGAGTTGTACAGTGGTACCTAAAATTGGAATCATGGCTTCTCATAGACCTTACATTTAGATTTTGAAAACTGGAAGCAGTCGAGCATTTCCAGAGACAGGGACTGCTGTGAGACACCTTCCTCTTAGCTGTCCAGGTAACCAGTACAAACCTTTTGGCCTCCAAGGCAAACTGTGAGGTCCAGGTTCTCAGCTAGTTGTCTGTCTCCATGCTGGTATGTTTTTTTCCCGTTTGTGGTATTGCAGGAGATGCTTTGTTAATAAGACGCAGAATGTATCAAATGGCCTGGTATTAGATTACTAGTCACTTCTCTACCCATAGGATCAGTCATCATAAACCCAGCACAGGAGACTACAACAAGAACAGTAAAGCCAGAAAGTAGTTTGTTTGAATTAAATTTTTAAAATACTTTAAAAGGGATTTCTTGAATTTTGTTTGACACTGCCTCTGCAGCAAAGCAAATACCCACAGAAGCAATTCACCTTAGCCCTGGACACTCTATTCTTGTTAAAAGCCAGCTTCCTTTTTTGATACAGCAAATTTATGAGGACATATATATATGACAGAGGCTATGACAGTACCACAGGTCACAGCTGAAATTATTTTCCTCGCTCTTTGACACAAAGGAAGTAATTTGCAAGTGTTTATAGAGCAAATCGAAAATCCTCTCAAGCTCTTTAGATTCTTCCTTTAGCTTGTGTGTGTAACAGACTAAGACCTCATTTAGCATGTGATTTATGTATAAATGTGCAAATTATAAACACCATGCACAAAACAGATGTAGTTAGCGTGCAATGCTCCATTATTACAATAAAGTTTATCTTCAAGACTAAGTCCAATGGATTGGAAGGCACATACATGTATTTTATGTATAGATAAAATATAAAATATGTCTCTACAAAATATAGATAAAATTTCCAGGCAAAAGTGGATAGATCACAAACGTTTGTTTTTACAAGGTTAGACATACGTGTACCTAAAGATAAACATTTGGAACTGATTTTGCCTGTCAAAGTGGTTGACCGGCACTTCCTAAGGATGTGTAATACTTAAAAATGTACAAATAGATGGACGTATACATGTTTAGTTTGTGTTCAGCAACCTCATTAATTAGGAAGACAGACTTAGATTCCACTTGCTCTTAAGTTGCTCAGTCTTTTGTACTAAAGATAATAAGCTTCACAAAGCCAGCTAAAAATAGAAGCCCAACACAAACCAAAGCTAAAAATACACTGCATGCAAAACCAGCATTTGTAATTTACATAGAAAAGGCCAGCCTGCCCTCCGCTGCAACGCCAGTGTTTACAGCAGGCTTTAGAGATGAGTGTGGATCAGGTGGACTAGAGAGCAGCAATGGGAACTCTGACATTCAGGGCAGCCTCGGCTTTCTGCAAAGCAGGAGAGCAGTGGGAGCATTATCAGCTGTATGTCTCAGAAAACAAGGAATTGTCAGAGAGAATGCAGCTGAAAGAGCGTGATGAGATCTAAAGAGGCAAACAAAGGAGTCAGTCAGTGAAAGAGAGAGATTTTACCTGAAAAGCAGCAGAGGATGTTCTTACTGTCTCAGTACTTTGGCTATTATTGGTGGCATAAAGGTTATCCAGGCTTCGAGAGATTAAATATATTTACCAGAAACAGCAAACAGTCAGTATATAAAATTCTTAGACTTCCAAACACTTTATTCAGAAGGTCAAAAACTGTTTTAGTAACTCTTCTGGAGATGGACAGATGAGAAGAGTGAATTTCAGCTATGCTGAGCACCACCTGTCTCACTGCCTGGGCTTCCAAGCAGCAGCTCAGCAGGTCCAAGTAGGGCAGTAAGCAGGGGACAAGTAGGACAAAGTAGATTTAGGAACTTTTATGGAATTCAAGCAATCTGACTGCGGTCCAAAGAGCTTAAGGGTCTTTTCCTAGATCACACAATAGCACATTAGCAAACTGCAAACACCTCGGCTTCCAGCCAGAAGCAGTCCTCCATCCAGCTGCGTAAGTGAACAGAAGAGGGAGTTCTCAACTGAAGGAATTTTTCCCCCAGGCTTCCCAGCTAGGCTTGATAGCTAAAACAATTGAAAACATTTACAATAAAATGAAAACAATACGTAATTGTATTGTTTTGCAGCTGTTCTGGTGCCAAGAAACAGCTTCAGTCAGGAAACCAGTTGTAAATTTGACAAGGAAGAAGCAAAGATAAGTAGGATGGCTTACTTGCCAGGAGAGACTCCCTAAATTTAACTGTCTTGAACTTTGTGAAGGAAGAGGAGGCCTTCTGCCCAGTTCAGCCCTGCTCTAAATGAAAACCCAGCGAAGTCAAGGTGCCACCTATTATAAGGTGCATTGTGACTTAAAACATCCATAATAGAGTACAAGAGTCAGATATGGATGATAACAGCAGTTTTAAGTCTAGGTGTATTACGTATACTGAATGTTTATATACACTGAATTTTATTCTGGTGACAACAACAAAAAAATCCCTACCTAATATCAATAAGCAAAGGAGCTTTTGGAAATCCTGGCTTGTATTGAATACTGTCTGAGTAAAGTATATACTTTACTGAGTAAAGTATGGATGCTCATGGCTTTGTGGGTCACAAGCTAATGTCACAAGCTTGTGAGCTCATGGCTCACAGGCTAATAAAATCTGTGACAGTAAGCTGTAACAACCTCCAGGGCAGCTGTTATCAGAACAATGGTTTCAGCACTCAACTGCAAAAACACAAATGAAACCCACAAAACAAACAACAAAACAACATTCATCTGCATGCTTCTTAGCAATAAAATAAACCA